GACGCAGAATTATTAGGCAGAGAGATACAGGTTTACAAACTGAGTTAGATTTCACACCTGAGTCAAGATTTCCCTCTGCATCATTTTAAAAGGGAAAGCTTTCTTAAATGCTTTTTTTATAACATGATAGAAAATGAGAGTATCTGTGTAAGCTTTTGGTATGTCTAACCAATCAAATCTATACTCCAAACATAGCAGGAATGGTGGCAGGAATGGAGGAACATGGGATGAATGTTATAATTCAAATTACCACAATCAGGGACAGACCTATTCATGGAGAAGAAATCTGTGGATAGTAGCCAAGAGGACCGTCTCACTTCAAAGGCAGTAGATCTTGGTATACCAGTTTTGGGGGGACAAAAGGGGACAATTCTTTCTTTTAAACGTTTTTCTTTGCTTCATAAAGTCATTAAGGTAACTCTTGTTAAAGCTACATCCCCTTGATCTGATCCAATAGTATTTTTAATCAAAAACATTCACAGGTTGGGGGTCAGGGTTCAATGATACCAAAATGTTGGGCACTACCAGGTAATCAAAGCCCCATCTTTTAAAAATGTGGGTCATACACATCACACATATGTTAAAAAAAGCTGGGTTTGATTGTCTGGTGAAACCCACAATTTTCATTTTGTTGACTCCCCCTGCAGAGGCCTCTGTTCTTAATACAGGGTGCTCATTTGATCTAAAGAACTCGAAGAAATAGAGCTGATGTCTTGGTGTCTGAGGAGGTAACTGGGAGGCAGAAGAAAGACTAGAAGGATTCCTGAGCCCTTTTTCTCAGCTAGAGAAACAAAGGCACTATGAGAGACTTGGAAGTTATATAAAATGATATTTAATATCTCTGGGCACTGAAAACTGAGTTCAAAAGTCTACACTAGCAGGTTTCCAACCACACTCCAGTTTTTCTGTTTGATCTTAGGAAGGCATTCCTGGTAGCATCGGGAGGGAGGAATTCATATCCAGGAGGACATAACTTCTGATGATGATGCCTCTGATGCTGATATTCATGATATACCATCCCATTCGTTTTACAGATGGGATGTATAACATTTCTAGGCTGAGAGCCCCACCTGGCCTTTGAGTAGTGTGCTTAGGGACCTTCTCCCAAAAACCAGTATACAGAAGTGAATTTGACTTCAGCTGAAATTCAAAACACACACACATGTGCATGCATGCGTGTGCACACACGCACACCCACACACACTCCAAAGGAGTGGAAGGAATATAGCTTACCTCTGAGTGCACTGTATAACTGCCCTGTAAGTTCTCTTGAGTTGAATCCCATTGGCTCATGGAAAGATGGGAGACTCATGAGCATCTATTTATTTTTGGACTCCAAGCCTCATCATTTCATGCAGCATGGCATAGCCAATGGTAAGGAATGTTGGGAGTTGTAGTTTAGCAATCTCTGAGACCCATAGCTTCCTCAATTTGTTGGCAGATCACAGTTAGTTAAATGTGTTCTCTGTAATGTTTTATCCTGTAATGTGGCACTTACCTACTAACACATACTGAAGAATGCTGTGTCAGTCCTTGTGTTTGCCGAAGAACTTTGAACTTAATGTGATGCTGTACTGGCAGAGTTTCTTTTTCTCCTTTTTCTCTTCCAAAAAAAAGTAATTATTTTGCTTGGAGAATGAGTCACTTTAGTTTGTGTCACTTGTATGTGCAATTATGAGTTTATTTTTCAGAACATTAATGTTCCCATTCATGCTCTATAGTTACAGATTGAAAAGAGAAGAGTAAAAGAAAAAAGATTACTCAAACTGACAACTAGGTTGTGAATATTTACCTAAGTTCTGCTTTCATCTAACATTTCATCTGAATTCTTGCACAGTAAATGTTCATACTGTCACCTGTATTTATGTGGATACGCTGCTGCAAGAGACTCCTCCTCAATTCCTCCCCCAAAGCCAGAAGTAAAACTGCAACCAATCTATGTACATGATATAGCCCCATCTTTTGGCATTTTTTACCCCTCGCACTACTGCCCTTGCCCTCTCCAAAGTTAAGTGTGCTCTCCCATCTCTGAAACGTTCCCCAACCCTACTTTGGGGGAGGAGTCAAATGGCAGCTGCACTCAACCAGGCCAGTGGAAGATCTCATGATCTTCTCCCAGCCTCCAGGAATGGAGAACATAGGGAATCAAAAGTTAATTAAGAATAATAAAGAACAGTGTGACTAAGCTCAGATAACATGCTGCAGGGGTTAGGTAATTAGAAGTTTGAGGCAGGAATTTTTCAGCCCTACTTGAGAATGCCAGGGATAGAACCTGGGATGTTCTGCATGCAGAGCATGGAGAGGTCTTTTTATTTTAGTGGTGAGCAACTTCCAGGCTCTGGACAAGACCATTTAACTGTATTGGCCATCAAATCCTTCTAGACAGGATGGATTGTAAAAAGGCTTCTTGTCTGACTTGCATTTTTTCTGGGCTACAATCCCTTAATTCTTAATAATACAACACCTTGGTGCCATTTCTAGCTTTCTTATCCCTCTGACAACTCAGCCTTGATTGATAAAGCAGGGGAAATCAATCATATGAACCCTTTTTTCCTCTGGAACACTAGAATCACGGACACCAGGGCTTGCCAACTCCAACAGTGATAAATACAAGCTAAAACATTTTCCTAGACCTTGGAACCTCAGACTAAGAGTCCTATCATTTCCATTAATCCTTATTTTCCCATCATGACAACTATTGCTTCCTGATTTATTTATTTATTTATTTATTTATTTATTTATTTATTTATCAAATTTATATGCTGCCCATCTCACCATCAGTGACTCCAGGTGGCTCACGAATAAAAAAACATAAAAATATTTAAAATCTACAAAACACATTAAAAGACTACAGACAAAGTTAAAAAATGGAGAGAGCATCTTCCAGGCGCCACCCACCTCCAGTGCTGGGAGCCCCCATTGGATCCCCAAGCTAGTTGGCAAAGCCAGGTCTTAACACTCTTCCGGAAGGCCAGAAGGGTGGGGGCCGACCTCACCAGGTCCCTGTCAGGTGACCCTTGAAGCTGGACCAGTGAAGTCAGAAGGATCTCCAAAGGCTGCCACTTCTTTTGAGCTGTTATTCCCCCAGTTCCATTTCTCTTTTGCTGGTAGTCTGCAACGTGTAAATAACTAACCACTGTTGAATTTGTTTTCTGTTCCTGTCACTCACTAGGAGTTGATTCTTGCTTGCCAACCCACCCATTTGGCTCTGGTTGCTGTGCTGCAAATAATATGAATATTGCAGCATTCAAGGTTAGCCATTAACAATAGTTTCTCTCAAAGCCTCCAAGTTTGTCGACAAAGCAAATGTCACTCAATGCAGCTCCTCACAATTTGGAGTCAGAAGAATGCCAAAAATGAAACATTTCTCCGCAAATGAGAAGTAATTGTGTTAGCAAACACTGGGAGGCCCGTCTTGAATAACTGACTACATTTTCTCAAGGCAAATTATACAGGAAGCGAGTCACTGATTATTCCTCTTAAATAAAGGAATGTAAGAGGGAAAAGAAAGAGAGAAAATGGCAATGCAGTGAAGCTAAAGAGTTCTTTCAAAATAGCTTTGTGTAAGTTAAATGTTGGCCTGTGTATGCAGCTCACGATTGGAGCATGCACACCGTGGGCTTATTGCTGTAAACACATTTGGGAAACAAATAACTGTGGCAACGTTCAGCTGCACAATGCTTTACATCACCAAAAAGCTTTTCATCTATTAGGATCTAGCAAGAGGACCAGATTCTGGAGGTTAAGATTCCACAGCTTCTCCTTGCTTTCATTGCATGAACAAGAATTGGACAAGATGCTGGACTTCACAAAAAAAGATCTGTGTTCAAATCCCCATCTACCAAGGCACCACAGAAATACCTTTCTAAAAGCACTAAAAAGTGAAAGCTCAAACAAAACAGTGCTCCTCTTTAATGTGCCAGCCACATCCTTGTTATGTATCCCCTTGATTTTCTTTTTCTCTTGAGCTTCCTGCAACAGCTAGCCAGTATTTAGTATCTGCTAAACCATCTGAAGCCTTACTGGGTATTTGGAAATCTTGCTGATCTCCAGTATCCCTGTGTTCTAGCTCCAATTATTCCTCATCTGGACAATTTTGGGATTTGTCCAAGTGTGCTAATGTCTCTCTTTTGGGGAGGGATCTTGCAGTTTTGATCATGGAAAGGTCTTGTTCTAACATGGAAATACAACATGGGATTTACTGGATGCCCTTCGATCAGTCACTTTGATGTCTACTTTTCCAGGCTGTCTTGAGGACAAAAATGGGATAATTACTATATGCACAGTATACTGTGTTCCTTGAAAGTTGCACACTTCCTGTGTTTTTCCATCAATGATTTAATATTTAGTGAATATTTGATAATATTGAAAGATAAAGCTGTAATCTTCTTCTTGCTGTTACTATGTTACCACTATTATTATTCTTGTTTTTCTTTCCCTTATAAAATAACCCAAATGATCTTATAACTGTATATTTCCTGCCTCATACCAAAGACAACAAATAGATCAAAAAAATCTATAAATTATTTTTACATGTTTTGCTTTAAGGAAAATCTAAAACGGGACAAAATTAGCCAATTGAGAGTACAATTTGTTAGGTTTGAGAATAATAATTTGAAATGTAAATCAAAGCTGGACAGAAGATGCATTTGTATGTTTTTTACTCTTAATTATTTAACAGCTTCTGCAACCAAAAGACTCCCACTCCCAGTCTAAATTATTACATTGGTAGAATAAAGAAAGGTTGGAGTAATCAGGAGAGAATTGTTGCATGGAAGGACAGTAGTTTCCATTCTGTTTCATTCCTGGAATTCTTAGAGTTAAAAGATTCTTTTCCACCTGGAGAAAGAGGCTAGATGACCAGCTACAATACAAAGCAAAGTTTTTAAGCCTAATGGCTGCCCAACCCTGATAGAATTAGTAAAAATCAGTAACAAATTAGCCATCAGTGTGCACAGAAAAGTTTATTAATTTTAGAATTTTATCTTTTTCTCTTATAGCTCCAATGAACCCACATTTACGTAAGTATTGGAAACACTTTGTGGCTATATAAATTAAATTTAGATATTTCTTACTATTTATACAGCTTCCATTTACTGTATCCATCTACTATACAGTGCAAGGGGGAATAATATAATATCAGTATACTGTATAATATAAACTGGGGACTTCACAATATAAATTTTGAAAACAGGCAAAGGAACAAAAGGGTAGATTGAAAAAAAAAGAACAACAAAATCTAGACAAGGGAGGAATGGAAGCACCAAACACATCTTCAGATTCTTATTTTTCCTTTCATTTGGGAAGAAGAGTTTGGAAGCCACACTTTTAATATTTTTGGCCTGCTAGAACAACAGGGAGTATGGACAATGATGTTATTATATGTGTCATTTGCAGAGATTAAGGCTGTCCATCACTAGACTAGGGCGGAAAGAAAAGACTTGACCAGATATGTAGTTAGGATAACTAACAGCTCATGAAAGCTAACAAAGGGCTCACTCATTCTACACTGCCTCTTTCCAAAATGTTTGATTAATCTTCCAGGAAGCAAAGAAGGAAGCAACTTGAGCCTCTGATCTACCAAGGTGATGGTCTAAACTTGTTGACTGAAAGATATAGAGCAGGGATAGATAATGTGTGTTCCTTCCAGAGGTTCGTCCCAATTCCCATCAGTTCTAGCCAGGATGGCCAGGGGTAAGAAAAGGTGGAATTTGCAAGGTGACATCCAGAAGGCCATGTTGCCCATCTCTCCGTCAAGTTATTATCAATGCATCTGCACTCACCACAGAGTTCACCTTGAGGTTAAGGCTAAAATTCTCCAAATACTCCTGAAATCAGGCAAAGTCTCTAGCAAGCTCCACAACTGTTTTTATATTTCCCCAATTATATAATTCCTACTGTTGCAATAGAAAGATAATTTATTACAGTTCTACTCAGAAAAGCTACTATAAGTGCTAACTCCTTTAACTGTCCAATAACATTCCCATTCTAATCCAGTTTTGGGCCCATGTCCTAAAAATACATTTAGACAATATTTATGAAGAGATGAATAGCAAATATTTCTGTGTTACTTGTATTAAAATGCTAATGATCCAGGGTGTTTCTAACCCAATTGCAGTATTTCAGTGGCAGCCTACATTTTCATAGGTGCCTCAGCTTAGCTCAGAAAATTAACTTGGATTTCTGCTATAGTCCCAAGTAGTTGTGGAGTTTTAGGATTTTTATTGTTTTATTTATTTATTGTTAACCATTTTGACCACTATTTTATAACTTGGGGTGGGTTATGAACTTAACAAACAATTCTATATATTTAAAAAACCTAAACTGAAGCATTGTGATTACAAAGTAGTTTTCTGAAGAAGAAAAGCTAAAAGCCTTTGTAAATTGGTAGGCTGAAATGATTATTCGTATGAACATGTGGTTGATCTGTTGGTAGGAGAATTTCACTGTGGCTTTGAAGATGGCAACATTTGTTTATTTACCCAAGATGAAAAGGACAACTTTGATTGGACGAGACAAAACATTGTCCTTCGAGACACAAAATACACCCCAAACACTGGACCCAGTGCTGACCGGTCAGGTTCCAAGGAAGGTAGAGTGTAACTCTCAGATGGCTTTTGCAATGAAAGATAAGATATGCCTTTCAACAATAAATGATCCACTTCTGTTTCTGCCCGTACCCACAGACCCTTTACTCTTCTTTGAGAAAAAGCCACAATTAAACCTGTAAATCTGAACCTTGGTTTTCCACTTTGTCTAAACTAAGAAGCGATAATTACATGCTTCAGAATGTGAGAAGATACTAAAATAACTTCAAACTTCAAACAAAAGCAATCTTGGCTGATCTCAAAAAGACTAAGCAAGGTCAGGTATGGCTAATGTTTGGGAGACTGGGAAGTTAAAAACAAAAATCTTGGAAGGTGGCAATGGTGAAATACTTCCATACTGTTGGTGAGAAAAGTACATGGCTATACTTGTGTAGTCACCAAAATATGAGCTTGACGTGTGAGTCTTTACCCTTTTAACATTGATTGATTAATTTTATTGATCAAGTTTATGAGGGGAGGTTATTCCTCAGAGTAGGCACTGCTTTTGAAACATAGCATCTATCATCCTCCACCAACACCCACAGAAAGTAGGAATCATCAACAGTTTTTCCAGGCGTGTATGAGTGTGATGGATTGATTCTGGTTGGAAAAGGTGGTCTTTAAGTACCTCATACATGAATAATAATTAAAGAAAAAATGTTTTAAAATATGGTAGATTCCCTTCTATTTAACTTTTACTTGTCTGAGCATCCTGATTCTTTTCTAAATTGCATAAGTTCTACCTTATATATAAGCCTCCCTGATTAGTTTTAATAATATAAATACTAGGAGCATGAACTAAGAACCTTTGAGAGATCAACCTTTGAAACAGCTGTAGCAACTTGCTACAGACAGCATCAGTTCCTACCATTTCCACAGTACTTGGAACTTGAGCAAAGTAGCACTGTGACCCTCAGGTTGTGCTTGAGGGTTTCCCATAGGTATCGGGGAAATTGCTGTATTAGTAGGTCTTCAGTTTACTTATGAGCTTGTATTCTTAAGTCTCTGCATTGCTCCCAGTCCCCAGAGAAGGATGTTTTTCCTTGTTCAATGTGGCATCTCATGTTATTCTTTTTTTTCCCCTTCTAGGATTTTTCATGTACATTGAAGCATCCAGTCCCAGAAAAGAAGGTGATAGAGCAAGACTCATTAGCCCAGTTTTTAGCATCCCTCCCAAAAACCCATATGGAACTACTAATACTGCGTATTGTTTCAGTTTTTATTACAACATGTATGGTCAACACATAGGTGAGTAATTGTCATCTTTCATCACTGTTGCAAAACACATTTTTAGCAGAGTTTCTTTATTTTCTTAAGATAGTGATAAGACTACTGTCTATGTGTCTGAGTACCACCAAATCACCTGAATGCTAATGAACTTCAGAAAAAATCAGATTGAAGTTAGGTCTGCTTCAGCAGAGCCTGATTCAATTCAGACATCTCCTGTATCTTTCAGAATTGGCCCTTGGTTCTAGATGTGAGATACATATGAATTCAACAGATATACCTTCTCATAAGACCCTTTTCTGTCATCTGAAGCCCAAACAATTCTGGCAAAGAAATACCAAGTTATGATTGTAGCCCACACCACTTGTTGAGTGATCCTGCTATTTACCCCAGATTTCCCCAGAGCATTTCAAAATGGGGAAATCAAATTTCTTTATTTGCGGGGGAGGTTTGCAGGTTTTAAAGGCAAAATTAGTTCTGTAAGTCTTACAGAAGCTTAAGGTAACTTTTCAGTCCTTAGAAAACCCAACCTCCCTAAACATTAATTGATTTTCCCAGGGAGCGGATGGCTTAAGGAGCAAAATGACTGTCTTAATCTTTTGCAAGGTTTAAGATATCTATTTCAACCCTTAAAAATCCAGAAAGAGGTATATATGGATATCAACATTTTAAAGTGCATCCCCCAGCTGCAAAGAAGTTGTACATCATTACTCTAAGGTATTAAACTGAATCATGCCACATCACTCCATCAAGCAAGTCCACCAGGTGCAATATCAGAAGACATTTGGCAGTCTTTTTCATTCCTTGCAAATTAGTCACAATCGGTGCTATGGGACCAGAGACACCATTAGGGAGAAAGAATTCTGACCAAAAACATGTGTATCACATCAAAAAGGATTCCCATTAGCTTTGCTTTGAGCCCCTCTCTCTTATTTTATAAGCTCAATATTTCTCCATTTCAGCTTGTTTAAATGCCCCTTTCAGCTCTTTGCAGTACTTGAAGCTGGCAGACCACCACCATATGCAGGAAAATTCAGAAGGGAAATGAAAGATGTTTTAAATGGGCATGTGTTTTGGCAGATCCTTTTAACACTTTTTTGAGATGAGAACAACACTTCTCCCCAAAATTACAAAGCCAGTCAGAATGAGCTTTTAAGCTTTCCTCAAAGGTCCCCATAGATATGTCTGGTTGAAGGATGTATTCTGTGGCGTTTGGAACTGTTGGACGAAATCCTTTCTGGTTTCAAAAAGAAAGAAACAACATCATCTGTTGGTTTTGCTGCTATTATTGTTTTGTTGTTATTTTACTTTCCAAACTCACAACATCTTTTTTTTTTTAAATGAGTCAGCTAAATGAGTATAACAGAAGTGCTCCACTAAAACAGAAAAATGGAAAATCAAATGGAGTTGAAGCAAAGTCCCCTCCTTAATATGATTTAAGAAGGGACTGAAAACTTTTCTTTCTGTAGGCTTTTACTGGTACTGCTTAAGCTTTTATGTTTTATGTCTCATGTGTTTTAATGTTATTTTTAATAGAGGTTTTCACTTTACCTTTTAAGCTGCCAAGACCCATTGGAGTGGGTGTTATATAAATATATATATACCATATAAAGAAAGCAGTGCAGAGCTAAATGACCATGGCAAACTAGAAATGTTCCCTGATGTTCAGGAGGATATTTGGAGGAGGGGGTTCTATAACACAGGGTCCATGTAGATTTTTTTCTGTATTTAAAAGATTTTAATTATATTGTAAATGATGAAAATCCTCTCCCCCTTGTAGCCATCAGCTGACTGCATTTTCTTTTCCACATCCTGTCCATTACACAACATGGTTCTGGTGCATTTTGAATGGGGGGGTGTTATTTAATGCCATTAATTGTACCACATTGCTGCTAAAAGTGATTAGAGGGAATGCAGACCAATTAAAAATAAAGCAAACAAATAAAAACCACAGCAAAAGCTAGTTGTTGCATCAAGCCGTAACACTCCAGAGTAACTCTCTGTACAAGCGCATTCTAGGAAACTAAATGATGGTCATAAACTACCAAAACCACAACATGAAAAGGTGAAGGGAAACAGAAGGGAAAGTGCTGTCTCACACTTGCCTCCTGCTGTATTAGAAAATACATTACTTTAAAAATAAGCACACCTCTTTTTAATCTCAGTATGAAAATGCACATCACCCAAAGACATTTTATGGTACATTCTGGAAATATTTGCAGGCCAGCATACGTGTGGGAGGGGAGCAATTCCACAGTTGAGGGGCTCTGCTGGAGAATGCCCTTCTGCATCAGTGTGAGGGAGGGCACATGAATGGTCAAGAGAATTGTCTTAAAAATAGAATCAGTGGGCAGAAAGCCATTGCGATGTCACCTTTGGAGATCCTGTAACGTTCTATTCAGCTGGTGAAGGACAAAATATTGGATTCCTCCTGCCAATACACCCAGCTCATTGACAACTTTCATATCATAAATAGATTTGTAACTTAGGCTTTCCATCCATATGTTATTTTTTTAAATGCCCTGGTTGCATTTCTTATCATTAATAAGTTAAAGGTATCTCCTTTCACATTATATTCCCTGAAACAGTTGTATGAGGCAGTTGGCTGTGGTTAGAAATAGTGCCCAAACCTAGACAGTGGATTAATTCAGCAACCAGGTTAAGTCTTGGGTGAACCTAGCCACTGTGAAATCCCTTCAGGTTTACCAACTAACTGTATTGCCTCTTTCTCTGATATACTGTATAGTAGTCCACTTCCAAAGAAAAACATCTGCTCCTAAAATTAAAAAAAGTAACCTTGACTGATATGTTTTATGACATCACCTTCATCTCCCCTCCCCCACAAGAAAGCTAAACACAACCCTGGCAAACTAAAAGTTTGCCCATTTATGCATAGTAAATTAGTTATTATTTAATATGTGTTCAAAGACTTTTTGTTACTTACATGTTGGGTAATAGAAATAATGCTTTTTTTCCCCTCTGTATACAACTCATATGCAAATACAGTACAGTCTCGTTTAACCGACCTTCGCTTATCTGACATTCCGCCTTATCCGACGCCCCTAAAAAAACACAACAACATGCATAAATCAGTGACGAGAAAAGTGTGCCGCTTGTTTGCGAGCATGAGTGTACTCTTTCTTGTTGCTCCTG